TAGAGAGAGCTTCTCTCTATATTGTCTTGTAAAGCTTACAAGACAAGCTTTGCAAGAGGGAGATCCCTCCATACACGTGTATGGAGGGGAGCAAAAGCAAGACAGCTGTCTAAAAAATATCTGCAAAAGTAGATGAACAGCAATCGGCCGGCCAAAAATGCTATCTTGGCCAAAAAGAGTGCCGACCGGTACAAAAAAGTGCTGACCGGCAACAAATTGTGCCGGCCGGCAAACTACATTGCCGATGGCAGCAAAAACCAGCCGGTGGCCTCTAGCCACTGCCGGTGATGGGTGGGGATGGTCTACAAGCCCTACCCTGCCTCTCAAGGGCAAGATGCAAGTGTTTGGTGCAAAACCAGACACTAAACGGTCGAGTTCGGGGATCCTGAGGCAAGGCGCGCGAGCCAAGACCTCCGGGAACTCCAAACGAAGACAAACATGGATAATCACTGAGTGTTCAAACGGTGACGTCCAAGTCTTGAGAACGGTCAAAAATGGGGTGTCTACACATTGATGTCAACCTTGACATCATTGCCTTCCAATGTGTGTGCTACATTTGTCTTGGTACCAACATGAGCAAAATACTGGTGTCAATATTTACATTAGATCATTTTATTGTGAATGTTCTCACTATCGCATACTATTGTGAACATTCACATCAGTTTGTACTGATGCCGACATTTACACTAGTGTCTACCGATGTGTGTGTCACATTTGTTTTGTTGCAAACATGAGTGAATAGACCTTGTAAATGTTCATATTACATATATAATAAGATTTATGGGATTTGCTATTAACAACAGAACACATCCGGTGACTCGCCCTTGTTTTCCCTAGTTTTGGCCCATTGACCCCGTGAGAGTTGCCCGGATGCTCTTAGCACAATCATACTCGATTATCTTGTCTAATGGGTTCATGTATGAATAGAATGCCCATCCAATTATTTCTCCGGACATGGAAAATAATAGTTTCACGCTTGCATACATGCAAACTAATCTTGCAACCTCTTCGTTGTCTTGTTTCTTTGTGCCATTTAATGCTTCATTCAGAATTTCACGTATTTTTGCTGTACTTAACCGACTGATATCCTTGCATGTTCGGTGTATGATGCCGGTTGTTGGTTTCGTACCATAAAAGAGATCCATTGGCTTGGTGTCATAGTCCACCCCAAAAATAAGTGATACAACACTTCTAAAAATCTAAATGTTTTTCTCTCCAATGTAAAACCTCCTACTGGATGGCTTGAATGTTTACACAATACGTCCAATGACATCATCATATTTCATGTAATGATTGAGGTCAACTTCATTAATGATCAAACAATCAAATTGGGGCCAAAATAGTGTTTTCTTAGGTCATGTTTGATTCACAAGATTAATAGTGAAGTATTAATAATCCTATTAAATTAGTGTGGTATTCACTATCCAATTGGATTAATATCCATTGGATTAATAATCCCACCACTACCCCATTACTAATAATCCTACAAATTTGTTGGATTAATTATCCATTGGATTAATAATCCTAAACCAAAGTATTAAAACAAACATAGGATAATTGGACCCACGGATTAATAATCCTAATCCCATACTCTAATCCACCCAATCAAACATGCCCTTAAGGCATTTCAATTGACCATTTGTAAAATTTGTACCCTTCAATAGTTTCACCAATCCAATGATATTAGACTGGCAGTTGACCTTTTTTATTTTTGCTGTACTTAACCGACTGATATCCTTGCATGTTCGGTGTATGATGCCGGTTGTTGGTTTCGCACCATAAAAGAGGTCCATTGGCTTGGTGTCATAGTCCACCCCAAAAATAAGTGATACAACACTTCTAAAAATCTAAATGTTTTTCTCTCCAATGTAAAACCTCCTACTGGATGGCTTGAATGTTTACACAATACGTCCAATGACATCATCATATTTCATGCAATGATTGAGGTCAACTTCATTAATGATCAAACAATCAAATTGGGGCCAAAATAGTGTTTTCTTAAGGCATTTCAATTGACCATTTGTAAAATTTGTACCCTTCAATAGTTTCACCAATCCAATGATATTAGACTGGCAGTTGACCTTTTTCATGTTCACTTATTCGGGACTAGTTGTTTAATAGGGTTTGCCTTTAACATAGGCTTCGTCTCTCTTTCTTTTGCCATGAAATTTACGGGGAACACCTGTTTGTTCAGATACAAACAAATTTAACGTTACTGTTCATAAATGAATAGTGATAATAACTGTAAATTATATGTTATGTGAATAATGAGATGATCATGGTGAAATATTATGTGAATAGCCGGCGTACATGTTCATATGAACAGGTTATAGCACATAACAACCCAACATTGACATAATGAGGGGAGAACAATCACACATTATAACAACAAATCAGCAAAAATAAACATGATGTAAATGTCTGCAATGGGTACAGTCCTGTGTTGTTAATGTTGCTATTGGTTTGTAGTCATTACCAATAGCTAACAATCTGATGTAAATATTGATATTATGTACAATTGAATTCAAATTGAACAAAAAAAGAGTTGACAACTATCTAAGATTAGGGGCTCTACATCAACGAGCAATAATACTAACAACTTTGTCAATATCTACATAATATTCCATTTATATTAGAAGGTGAATATTGACATTGATGTCAGAATGTGAATATTGGCATTATGTTCAGAATGTAATTATTTCATCACCATCAATAACCAACAACACTAAAAACTCTGACATTGACACAAGGGAGGAGATAGGGAGTTTATTACAAAATAATAACACATGACAATTTAAGACAAACAAGTTATTACCAATATTTAACAGCCTGATGTAAATATTAACATTATGTATAATGGAATACACATTGAATCAAAAGAGGGTTGGCAACCATCCAAGATTAGGGACTCTAATTGTTTTATAACCATCAACAAGCAACAATACCAACAACTCTGTAAATATTTAATCATATTCCATTGATGTCAGAAGTTGAATATCTACATTACATTCATAATGTGAATATTGACATTGAAGTAGATATTTACATCAATGTCAATATTTACACCATATTCACATCATATTCGATCACCCTGTAAATATTGTACAGTTGCCAATATGATGTTTACATCATATTCCATCATATTTCAATTTGGGGAGAAATTGGGGGTTCTATGGACATCAATAACCAACAATACCAACATTGACAGAGGGAAAAAAACATAGTTTATTACCAAATCACAACCACAAACAACATTAATAACAAAAGAATATAAATTATACATTTATTTGTTAATGTTATTCATATTCAATAAAAAATCAACATCACCAACTTAGACAAAGAGTGAAAATAAGGAGTTTATTACAAAATGAAATCCAAAAACAACAATAATAATAGGAACAATGTAAATATATACATTTATGATTAGATTATATTATTATTGATTGAAAAATAGAGGGTGGAAGGATGATGCTTACTTTTGCTTCTTATTGTGGATGGGATATGAAAATCGACGATCGGCAAGAATCAAGAAAGAACGAACCCCAATCATTTCGATGTAAACCTTTGCAGTGGTGCATTGATGTGGAATAGCAGTGGCCAGTGATGGTTGGTGGTGGAGGACAAAAGTGTCGAGGCGATGTGAAATTTAGGGTACGGTTTAAGAGTTTTTTGGTGCCAATGATGAGTTTTTTTTTTTGAGGAATGAGTATGTTGTGGAGTGAAGAGATGTAATAGGAATGGTTGAGTTTTCAGAATGGAGTATGCAGGGGAGAAATGGTTGAGAATATTTTAGTCTTACTCCACTGAATGAGATTTAATGCAATAATAAAAAATGATTTAAATTTTATGGTATGTCTTAGAAATGAGATTTATGGCTCCCAATTTTATTTTTATTTTTTTAAATCTCATAAAACCAATTCTAAAAATCAAACCAAACCGAGAGGAGCGACCATTCATTTGCTACACGGTTCAGTATCTACTACTCTCTCTCTCTCTCTCTCTCCTCGCCGACACAGAGCTGAGATTGAAGAAGATGTCAAGCAGAAGAAGAAGAATTTCTTTTTCTTCCATTATTGGACCAAGAATAGCTTGCTGCAATAATTGGCTATTAAAAGGTACTTCCAAATCTCCATCTCCATCTCCATCTCTACTTGTTAAAGTCAATCATCCCTCTTGTTTCTTGTTTGTTCTAATTCGTTCTCTCTCTAACACCACCAAAAACCCTACTTCTCCTCCTCGAGGACGCAAACGTAAACCTGAAGCCTTACCCAAACAACCATGCAATTTGGGTCCCAATCATCTTCATTCTGCTTTAATTTCCTTCAATCGCATGCTCCGAATGCGACCTTTGCCCCCAATTTCTCAATTCAACAAAACTTTAGGCTCTATTTTGAAAATGGGTCATTACGCCACTGCTCTTTCTCTTATTCGTAACAAGTTGCAACAGCTCCAAGGCATTCAGGTCGATTTCTACACCTGCAACATTGCTATTAACTGTTACTGTCACCTTAATCGAGTCGACTTTGGATTGTCTCTTTTGGGTACCCTCTTCAAACGCGGCTATACACCCAGTGTAATTACCTTCACAACTCTGATTAATGGACTTATTTTGCAAGATAAAACTCCTCAAGCTGTGGAGTTGTTTAAGAAATTAATGAGAAGTAGAGAAATTGAACCCAACGTGGTTATGTATGGAACCATTGTCAATGGGCTCTGCAGAACGGGGAACACTATCAGGGCTGTTAGTTTGCTTAGGATTATGGAAGAGGGAAGTTGTAAACCTGACACCGTAGTGTATACCACGATCATTGACAGTCTTTGCAAGGATAGAATGGTGGATGATGCTCTCAAACTCTTTTCTACAATGGATGAAAAGGGTATTTTCCCAAATGTTGTGACTTATACTTCTTTGATTCATGGCCTATGTAATTTTGGTCAGTGGAAGGAGGCTACTGAAATGTTCAAAGAAATGTTGGATCGTGGTATTGCTCCGAATGTTCATACGTATAGTGTTTTGTTGGATGCATGCACCAAGGAAGGGAAGATGAAAGAGGCAAAGGGGGTACTTGAAGTCATGATACAAAGAGGTGTGGATCCTAATGTAGTCACATACAGTACTCTAATGGATGGATATTGCTTGCAAGGCCAAATGGATGAAGCAATCAGAGTGTTGAATACCATGGTGGAGAGGGGCCTTCACCCCAATGTTTTAAGCTATAACATTCTAATCAATGGATATTGCAAGAAAATGAAAATAGATGAGGCCATGCATCTCTTTCGAGAATTGCCTCGAAAGGGGTTGAAACCCGACAATGGTACTTTCAGTGCTATGTTATGGGGTTTGTTTCAAACAGGTAGATGTGGAGCTGCTCAAAAACTTTTTAATGATATGCAAGTTGAAGGCATAATTCCAAATTCTCAAACTTATGGTATCATATTGGATGGGTTGTGCAAAAATGGGCATATTTCTGAAGCATTGTCATTATTTCACATGATGGAAAGCAACCGTTTACATCTTGATATTGCTAAGCACAATATTCTTATTAATGCATTTTGCAAGGATAAAAAGCTTGATACTGCAAGGGCCCTTTTCAGTAACCTTTCTTCCAAGGGATTAAAACCTGATGTTAAGACATACACTACGATGATACATGGTTTTTGTAAAGAAGGCCTACTGCATGAAGCTAAAGAGTTGTTTGTTAAAATGGAACATAATGGTTGTTTGCCAAATGATGTCACTTACAACACTATTATCCGAGGATTTATTGGACAACACAAGTGCTATGAGGCATTAATACTGGTTGAAGAAATGGTTCAAAGGGGTTTTTCAGTAGATGCATCCAATTCTTCCTTGATCATAGATATACTCTCAACTAAAGGACAAGATTCTGCTCTCCAAGAAGTGATAAAGAAGTTCATGCCCAAAGATAGTCATGGAATGCAAGAGATTGAGTAAAGTGCTTAAGCTGTGAAGGTAAAGCTACGTACATATTATGATATATATTATTAGGTGAAGCTCCCTTTTTTTATTTTTATTTTTATTTTTTTATTTTTTATTTTTTATTTTTTGTCTTTTGTTATATATTGACATGGGCTCATACTTCTCCATCAATAATTTTGGACTTGTTGCTACATGACTTTGCAACATTATTTTCATATGTTGTAGATTCTTGTAGACTATTTGTTACGTCGCTCTCTGCAGTATTTTAATTCACATGTTACAAATTCAAATAGATTCTTTTTCAGTCCCCTGAATTATGTACAAGTGGTCATTTCTTAGGGATTTTTGACAAATGACCGCCAGTGGTACTTTTGGAGATTTCTTTCTTAGGTATGTGGTCATCAACTAGTTCTCTGAAGGAGAATTTATGGTATTAGTAGCGTAGATGATTAAATATCTTTGAATGTGTTGTTGGAAGAGGCATAACTGTCGTAGTAGTGCTAAATTGGGTAGAAATTACAATAATGTTTGGTCTTTGTGCCCTATGAGATTTATACAAAGCTTGGGATGCTTTACATCATAGATAAGATTGTCATTGTTATATGGAAGAAAAAAAAATAATAAAAAGATAGATGAATAAACCATTTAGAAGTTGATACACTTCCCAGTAGCGGGAGAGGCAATTCTCGCCACGTTCGAATGCCTATTGTTGATTTATAATTTCCATTTATGTATCTTGTGCATAATGCCTCATAATTCTTTCAACCTGTCAAATTTTTTGATTCCCCTCTTTTGAAGGTTCATATCGCCGCTGCTGCACTAAGCAACCCCACTCACATACCTCGGTGCTGACATAATTCAATGGCAACAGAAAATTCTTGTTGAATCAACAACTGTTCCTTTTCTTCTGAGCTATTTCAAATACAATATTAGTTTTATATTATTTTATTGGTATTTATTAGCACACTATATTCTTGTGTTGATTGTGATGACTATCAGAATTTCATTCATGTTTTTGCTCCAATTGAAGCTCATGTACTGGTAATTGACTTGATCAAATAGAGTATCAGCATGCTCTACAAAGCTAAAGCAAACGGGCCCTTATGAATTAGGTTTGGACTCATCAATCTAGTTTTAATTTGCACCCTCATTCTGATAGTGGTGCAGGGACTTTGTTAAAGGACCCAGGTGCTGATTATGGATATTATTCAAATCCTTGATGGAGTTTTAAAGGCTGTATCATCTTGGACTGGGAAGGATTCCTTGTGGAATCAAGGAATTTGTGAAGTACCTGCAACTGCTGGAGCTTGATCTTTGCTGTTAGTTTCCTCATACAAGGCAAGTGTTTAAGCTTAATTCCTCATCATTACAGCCCAAGGGTAGCAGCCTGTTTCAGCACCACAAGCATCAAATTATTCTTATTTTTATTTGACTAAATTACACATACACTGACCTCCCTTGAGGTTTCTGACACTTTCAAATCCGGCCCTTGTGATTTTTGACTTATGAAACTGTTGTGTAACGGAAAGCATTTTTTTATAACTATTTTGCTTGTAGTCATAATGTTATATAAAATTCACTTTTATCGTCAAATTCAATAAATTTTGAGAAGACAAATATGCCCGGAATGTCTCACTCAATTTATCAGCCGAAGCCATCCGTCACAAACTCGGAAAAGCTTTGTTTCATCTATTTGTTTGAATTCCTAAATCTATATGTATGTGTACATAGATATATATTTGAAACTATAGTATGAGTCTTGTTTTATTATTGTTTAATGGATATCTTGTGAATTCATTCGTCACTAAATTTTTAACTTACAAATTTCAACTTTCAACAGCAGTTTGAAAAATTTGTCACAGAAAAACGTTACTAATTGTAAGTTCTAGCGACAATTTATATAACCGTGACAAAAAAAAATCACTAATTGTCAATTTTTAGTGACGTGCAAAAAATGTCACAAAACGACGATTTTACTAGGATTTATTTTCAATAGGATTTAATGGGAATATTAAATCCAACTATTAAGATCTATTGGTAGTTTACCTTTTTATTTTTATTCCGTACTACTTGTTCGAACATATTGTTAGTTATTAATTAACAAGTACGCGTGTCGCATGATGATTTCTTATGGGAATATATTGCAAAGTAGAGCTTTCTTTAAGTAGACGATTAATTGAGTGGCCTGAGATCACTCACCAATCACCATTTCACACAACCCAAGCTGCCTTTCAATCCTCAGCTCTCTCTCTCTCTCTCTCTCTATATATATATATATCTTTCTCTCTATGGAAAGTCTATGCGATCACCACCATGAATTCGAGCTCTTCAAACCTCAATCCATGGAGAACTCAACACCAACCGACTCCTCACGCAAGAAGATGAGGGAACCCTACATATTAACCAAGTCTACAGAGAGCTGAACCGAAGAACACGACAAGTTCATTGAAGCTCTTCAACTGTTGAGTTCTTCTCTCTCTCTCTTTCTCTCTCTCTCTCTCTCTCTTTCTCTCTCTTTAATTTTTATCTTCTATTTGAAAATTTTCTTATTTGTTTATGCATATAACCTTGCTTATACAGTTATATATGTGACTTAATTTATCTTGAGTGTGATTGTTATTTGGGAAATTTTAGTAATCAATTTTTATTCTTTTTCTCAGCAATTTTAGTAGTCGATTTGAGCTCATTTTCTGCTGGCTTGTTACTTTTTTTAATAACATATATTATTTTTTTATTTCAAAATTTATGTGGTCAATATCTGTCTATGTATATACTAGCGGTGGTGTAAAGGCGATGCGTTTGTAATTTTTGATCAAATTTTTTTGGTGATATAATGATGGTTATAAACATGGGCAAAAAGGAAAACAAAAATTTGTGGGGAAAATAAATTTTCCTGTATATTTTGTAAGAAATTGTTAGTCTAACCAACAAGCTAATTTGAGTTGTATGGAAGTTTTAGTTTCTATTACTTTCTAGAACTCTCTATCTAAACAAACACATAAATTTTTTTTTTCCCCCTTTTCTTTCATTTTCCTAAACTATCTATCTAACCAAACTGAGCCATAGATAGTTGTAGCAGGACACGGTTTGGAAATGGGAAGGGCATTCTTGGAAAGGGAAAAACGTGGCAATTCACACCAACTTAGGTGCATGCTTTATATAGTAGAGTAGAATAGACAAAATAGAATAGAATAGAATAGAATAGATAATAGAAGTAGTGGTGCATAATTTATTAGATGAAAACTAAAATTTCAAATTCGAATCACTAAATACATAAAATTAACTAAACATCTCAATTTCTTTAATTTTTAAAATTATTGATAGACAAAAGAACAAAGGAATTAAGTTAATACAATTTTTCAGGGGCAACTCAAGCTTGTTTGAGGTCTTTTGAGAAAAATCTAAATCGGTCTTTATAATTTTTGTGCATTGTAATTTTTATTTAAAATTTACTATTCTCACTTCTTGAGATGCAAAATTACACTAAGTTTTTATGTTCAAGTTTTTTGACATAGCATTTTCAAATTTATATTATGCCTGAAACATTACTTTTTTCTTGTGACCTAATCAATCTTAGGTGTAATTTTACAGTATTAATTTTAAAAAAATTCTTTTTTAAAAGTGAATGTTATAATTGTCAATAATATTATGTTAGTAATGCATGCACTTGGGAAATGATTTAAACTTTTTATATGATTCTGTTAAAATCTATCACCTACTTCATCCACTAAACCTAACCCACTACACCACTACCACCTCACCTACTCCATTAAACCTAACCCACTACACCACTACCACCTTCACTTCACCTACTCCTTACCTACTACACACTCACCCTCTTCTATATATAGGAATCATGAATCATTGTAATAAATATAACATTATATCAATCAATAATACAATTCTCTATTTCTCTTTATACATTAAATTTCTACATGGTATCAGAGCAGGTTTAGAACCTAATATTTTCGCTTCACCGGCGGGCGGCAACCTCACCTTAGCCGTCCGCCGGACCTTAACCTATTCCGTTTCTTTTCTACACATTCTGAACATTGACAAAGGTGACGACACGGCAACACCAGGGACGCCGGGTGGACCATTGATATCGTCGATCCGAGTGGACTCGCTATCGTATACTGATCGGAAGTTAAGGCCGGGATGCAAGTGCTTGCCCGTTGAAGCTCCTTCCTGGGGTGCTCCTCACACCTGCCTCTTAGATTTCCCTGCTCCCGATGTCTCGCTCACCCGGAAGCTGGGAGCAGAGTTCGTGGGGACATTCATACTGATATTCGCGGCAACGGGAGGACCAATCGTGAACCAGAAATACAACGGAGTAGAGTCACTGATTGGGAACGCAGCATGCGCTGGTTTGGCAGTGATGATAGTGATTCTGTCTACTGGTTGCAACCATGAAACAAGAAGAGAATATTCCAAATGGATCTGGAAGCTAAGCCTGACCATTAGCATCAACATCTTGTGTCTAAAGTACACAAACTGATTTTCTCTCTTCTCTCTCTCAGCAAACCCAGCACAAATACAAATGGAGAGGGGCTACGAACCTCTCTCTCTCTCTATGCACTGACTCTCTCTTTTTTTTTTCGGAAGCTTTGAGTTTTGAAAGGTAATGACACACTAGACCCACTCACTTCCTTTTCTTATGAGGAGAACATTTTTAATATCTTTACTCACCCAACATGGATACCACTCACTTTCTTTTTTTTTGTTTTTAATCTCACCCATCCACCGCCCAACTTTTGCCCCCCTCTTTTCTTATTTCTTTATCATCACACCAGACACCAACTTTTGTCCCCCTCTTTTCATTTCTTTTTATTTTTATATTATTCACCCACCTCTGCTTTTTTCAACTCTTTATTTTATTTTATTTCATTTCCCACACTGATGTTTTTCATATAATCCATCTACCAATTCTTTTTATCTATTTTCTTTATCCCTTGTTTTCTTTCCTTTTATTTTTATTTTTACACAAAAAAAAAAAAACCGGAAGAAGACGAAACTGCACACCAAACTCATTTTATTCATATCAGGGGATCAACCCCGATCACAATTTTACACCAAAAAAAAAAAAAAACAAAAACAAAAACAAAAAAAAACAACCACAAAAAAAAAAAACAAAAACAAAAAAAAAATAGAACAACCACATCCACAGGCAGGATTTTCTTCTCTACTCTGCTGCAGGTCTTTTCTTCTTGCCTCCGTCCTGGGCGGCCCTTGATGGTGTTGCCTCCGTGTTTCCCACTCAACTGGGCACGATCACTCCACCCTGCTCCTCCACTGCAGCATATGGCGGCCCTCCAAATCGGAACATCACGGTGGCCTTCCGCTTCAGCTCCTTGTTTTCTGCCTTTAGCACACTTATCTCTGCTCGCGCATCCTTATACATGCGTTGGAGCAGAGCCAGCTGGGAGTTTAAATGCTGCACCTCATTTGTCCTACTCTGCAGCCGGTTCGACAAATTTGTAACCGCAGTCATGGTTTCCACACATGACTTCAATGTATACTGATTGGCCTCCACATCCGACTGCACAGCCATTTTTTGCTCCAGTAAGTGATGGCATCTCAATTTTTTGTTCTGAAAGTTGATGCACAATTGATCTCTCCAATAGTTGTTCTGTGCCACTAATACAGTGGGAAAGTCATTACGGATAACTGGATCACGCTGATTTTATCATATATTGTTGTGATCAACACAACACACACAAACATGGTCAAATAAACACAAAACAGGAAAAAACCCAGAATAATGTTTCACAAGTTTATATGATATCCCTACAAATGATATATAAAATAAAATAAAATAAAATAAAGTTTTGTTGAGAACACGTTATCCATATTAAGATCCTAAATGGTAGTGATCAGCAGAAATAAAACAAAGAACATGCAGAATGATGCACCCTAGCGTCAAATGGAATGAAGTGCATCAAAGTAAAATGGACACACAGGAAAGGGTGTCTGCAGTGTTACCTCAGGGGAACAACCTAATGGTAGAAGCATTGAGAGAATAACGATGTTTCTCTGTTCATATACCATTGTCACCTGTTTTTATGATTGTGTCTAAGTTTGGAAACAATAAAAAAATCTGTTTTTAATTCACCCATCAAGGAAATAAACTGATGAAAATATTTTTATAGGTTAAATGAGTCTTCTTTAGAGAATTCAACTTGCTTTTGATGCCTTTTCAATCATAAACTTGTCATGTTGGTTTTATCAGGAACTTTAGCTGATGATATGTTTTTATGGTCTAAAAGAATTTCACTAGTTGTATATTGTATTCAAGAATGAATGGATTGTTTGGAATTGAGCTCTTTTGAGGTTTTAATGATTCCTTGGGAGGAGTTATTTAGGGAGAAGTTTCTGAATCTTTTGAGTTTTCTGTCCTTAGCACACTTATCTCTGCTCGCGCATCCTTATACATGCGTTGGAGCAGAGCCAGCTGGGAGTTTAACTGTTGCACCTCATTTGTCCTGCTCTGCAGACCTACTCCCCTAAACCTAACCCACTACACCACTACCACCTCACCTACTCCACTAAACCTAACCCACTACACCACTACCACCTCCACTTCACCTACTCCTTACCTACTACACACTCACCCTCTTCTATATATAGGAATCATGAATCATTGTAATAAATATAACATTATATCAATCAATAATACAATTCTCTATTTCTCTTTATACATTAAATTTCTACAGATTCAATACATCAATTGAAGGTATATTCTTCTATTTGCAAAACTTATCGTTGCCGTGGGTCTGCTGGACAGTCTGGGCAATAAAGTAAATAGTTGACACCATGCTGTGTTGTTTGGTTGAGGGTGGCTTTAGCATTCTAATTACAGTGTTATAGATAAGACACATTTAAGAGGAAATATCGGAGAAATGGGAAATGGGGAAAGTAATTGTAAATGTATGGAATGCAAGTGAGTGCAGGTGAGACATATACCCAATGCAAACTGATTTGCAATTACTTTCTCTAATTCCCATTTATCTGATATTTCCCCCACATTTAAAGTTTTTCTGTCTGTCAACTGATTAGTTCTTAAGTGGGAAGTTTTAGTCCAAGAATCAGCATGACCAAATGATCTGAAACTTCTTTTAAATCATTTGATTTTCAGAACTTATCAAGTCCCTAAAACATAATTATCCTCGATGAGGAACTTCAGTACTTTCTTTCTTCTACTCCTTTGTGGTTGGATGTTATTGTTCTTCTCCGCTCCCTGTCTTTTTTTTCTGTGTCATTGTTCTGTATAACCACTTATTCTTTTTGTTGCCTAACATCTGTTATTAGCTTTTGGATATTTCCAATTCCAACATCTGAAGGATGTTCATTTATGCAATTTATCAATGCAGGCTCTTTATATATCTTGGCTGAATAATTCCATTTGCAGATCCGAAGTCATGCCCAAAAATATTTTCTGAAGGTCCAAAAAAATGGGACTATAGAACATGTGCCACCACCTCGACCTAAGCACAAAGCTGCTCATCCTTACCCGCAAAAGGCACCAAAAAATGGTTTGTCCCATGATGACAATGAAAGTACATATGGCAGAGGATTTTATTTGAATTTTGGTCATTCTGACATTTTATTTCTTTTAAAAATTGGCAGTTTTAGCACCATTTCAAGCTTTCATGGCTTATCCTTCTTCGTTGAATTCCCTTGCACTAGGATATTCTCCATGGGATGACACTTCCAGGCTCATACACTCTCCATCAGGTGGAATCATGCTATCCCAGAATGAATACAATCTTCATGGAGTCGAAGGCATGCATAAGTTTTTTTATTTGTGTTATTTCTCCCTTGTTCATAGATATATGTATATTTTTTATTTGAGAGAACTTTCTTGTAATTATTATGGCATACAATGTTACTGCTTCAGCTGATATTGGATCGAAGGGGGTAGCAAGGACTAGTAACAGCAGCTTTGATGGTGTTAAAATTTACCATCACCTACCACCAATTTACCATCACGTACCACCACCTACTCCTCACCTACTACACTCACCCTCTCCTATATAATGAGTCACTCACCATTTGTAATATATCAATACATCAATCAATAATACAAGCATTTCTCTTTATACATTAAATTTCTATATGGTATCAGAGCAGGTTTAGAACCTACTATTTTCGCTTCCCCGGCGGGCGGCAACCTCACCTTAGCTGCCCGCCGGACCTTAACCTAGTCTGCTACTAAACCCTTCCGATAGGAACAGAGAGATCAAGCTTCTCTCTTCTTCCTCTATCTTCTCTTTAAAAAAAAAAAAAAAAAAAAAAAAAAAAAAACCTAGCCTCCCCTCTCTCTCTCTCTCTCTCTGCTCCAGCCATGGGTCGCGTTCGTACCAAGACCGTGAAGAAATCATCGAGGCCAGTGCTCGAACGCTACTACTCGCCGATGACACTTGATTTCCACACCAACAAGAAGATCTTGGAAGAAGTTGCGATCATACCCTCCAAGCGCCTCCGCCACAAGATTGCCGGCTTCTCCACCCACCTCATGAAGCGGATCCAGACGGGTCCAGTTCGTGGGATCTCCCTCAAGCTCCAGGAGGTGAAGAGAGAGCGTCGCATGGACTTCGTCCCTGACAAATCCGCCATCAAAGAGGTCCGGCGCCGTCTCTCCCGACTACGCCAGATGGTCGCGAGCTTGCTCTTCGGATGGGCACTCCTTTGTTTGCTCTACTAGAGAGCGCGAGTTAAGGACGTGATCAATAAGTTGATATTCTTCCATCACAGAGCATAAATCGGATTTGCATACAATGTCAGTCCACTCTCTTTACACCACCCACGTGATGCTGAGAGAGAGAGCCAGCAACCACTTTTTCTTTTCCTCCTTTGTTTATTTATTTATTATTATTATTTTTTTTATCTCTTCCTCCTTTTTATTTTTAAAACCTATTTTTCCTTACAATCCTGTTCCCCACTCCACTTTCCTCTTTTCGTTTTTTTTATTTTCCTATTCTGGCGCACTACCTCTACTTTATCTCTTCCTCCTTTTTGACTTTCCAACCATCACGTCCTTTGCAAACAAACATAAAAAAAAAAAAACAAACAAACAAACAAAAACAAAAACAACACAAAAACAAAACAAATTAACTTCTGGGAAACCCCATCAAACTGTTACTCTTTTGAAAATTTCTATTATAGCATAACAGTCCTTCCCCCAAAATTTTGCACATCAATTGTTTGCGTATTCTGAGATAAAAAAAAAAACAAAAAAAAAAAAAAAAAAAAAAAAAAAAAAAAAAAAAAAAAAAAAAAACGAAAACGAAAACCACTTGCATACCACTCCTTTTATTCATGTCGGGGCTCACCCCATTCACCATTTTACATAAAAAAAAAAAAAAAAAAAAAAAAACACACAAAAAAAAAAAAAAAAAAAAAAAAAACAGACACACCAACAAAACAACCACACCCCCGTGGGATTTTTCTTTTCCCTTCTCTACTCTACTGCAGGTCTCTTCTTTTTGCCTCCGTCCTGCGGCCCTTGACGGTGCTGCCTCCGTGTTTTCCACGCCACCGAGCACGTTCACTCCCCATACTCCTCACTGAAGCATATGGTGGACCTCCAAATCGGAACATCACGGTGGCCTTCCGCTTCAGCTCCTTGTTTTCTGTCTTTAGCACACTTATCTCTGCTCGGCATCCTTATACATGCGTTGGAGCAGAGCCAGCTGGGAGTTTAACTGTTGCACCTCATTTGTCCTCTCTGAGCCGGTGCGAGGGGTTTGTGACCGCAGTCATGGTTTCCACACATGACTTCAGAGTATAACTGATTGGCCTCACATCCGACTGCACTGCCATTTTTGCTCCACAGACCGCATCGGAAAGTTCAACGGAGCAAACTCCGGGGCGCTTGGTTGAGGTTCCAGTGCCACCGCACCAGTTATTTCTCTTGTGGACTCGTTCAATTCTGGAAAGAGCGTGAGCAGACCACGGGAAGAGAGGCCATGTTCTGGTAGCTGGACGGGAAGAAGAGGCCATGTTGCTGAGTGTTTCAGAACGGGTTGGTTACAGAGTATTACCGAGTTTCTCTCTCAGCAAAGGAAGAGTTTTTTTCAGAGGATTTTCAGAAGTTTTGTTCTGCCTCAGCCTCAGTCATCAACCTTGGTTAAATAGCCGAGGCAGCCACGCGTATCGCGCGCCACTTGACGCCAGACGACGAAACGGCCGCGCCAGCCAAGGCACTCACGTGCCTCGCCATCATATCCGGCACATCTTTTTATGACTTGGGCTCGCCTTTTGATGGCACGCCTTTTTATGGATTGGGCACGCCTTTTGAAAGATTGGCACACTTTTGAGGGTGCGACTTTTTTAAGGGTCCGACAAGACTCTGTAAACTGTCCCGACATTGATTCCGGTTGTTCCTTCATGGGTCCGACAAGACTCTGTAAACTGTCCCGACATTGATTCCGGTTAGTTTTTACAAGGGTCCAGCAAGACTCCGTAAACTGTCAACTGTCACCACATTGTCTACTACAACGGTCCGACATGACCCCATAAACTGTCTTCTACATCGGTCTGACACCGCCATCCAGTGTCCTCTACACCGTTATGACACACCATACAGTGTCCTCTACAACGTTATGACACCACCATCCCGTGTCTTCACCAATGGTCTGACACGACCATACAGTGTCTCCTATCCTCTTTTTTTTTTTGTATTTTCTTGTTTTGTTACTCTCTCCAAACTCAAGTTGGTTAGTTCTTATCCTCCTTGAATTTGCGGGGGGCTGTTAAAATTTACCATCACCTACCACCAATTTACCATCACCTACCCACCACCTCCACTTCACCTACTCCTTACCTACTACACACTCACCCTCTTCTATATATAGGAATCATGAATCATTGTAATAAATATAACATTATATCAATCAATAATACAAGCATTTCTCTTTATACATTAAATTTCTACAGATGGCATCGGAAGCTTGAGTAGAACAATATCAAGTTCTGAATTATCAAAGCAAGGGAAACCAGGTTCATTGTTTCATGGTAATCTTCTCAACTGTATTGATGATTGGTTTAAATTAGTTAATCATGGTGAAGTTTTAGACTTGCAGCTCTATACTAAAGTGGCACAACTTGCTCTCTTCACAATGTTTTTCTATTTATATTATGCGCTTTAGATACTTGTTATCTAATTTGTATGTTAGTGCTCTCCTATCTTACTTGCCCTATTTGTATTGTTGTCCTTGTAGTGCAACATGCGTCATAGGGAACCTTTTATCTTTTTTTTTTTTGCCAGTTCCTAAGATTTGGCAATACTGGAAAATGTTACTCTGAAAGAATTTTCCATGGTGATAACATACTGGTTTTGGATTGTTTCTCTTTGGGTTATTGGGGTAGTTTGATCTGAGTTTTTATCAGTATGAGTCCACTTACTTGCCTAACAAATTTTCAATAATGATGGTTGATAGAAACTATAAAAGTTGTGAAGCAATTATATTGCTCATTTATATATCAATTATGAATTTCTCCTTCTTCCTCACCCTACTATGTTACATGGACTTGGGTGCAGGTGCATCTACTTTTTGAAAATATCCATTATTTTGGAGTGTTAGCAAGCATGCCCATACCTGTTTGGTTTATGTTAACATGAGTACAGTTTGTCTGGCTGAAGTAGTATTCATTTATTCAACTACGTAAAACTCATGAATAAAATAACTCATCTGTTGTTCCTCTCATACACTTTTGCTTTTCAGTTAAATTTTTTTCAGGTATACCAGATTTTGCTGAAGTCTAGCTTCATTGGAAGTGTCTTTGATCGAGACACACAAGGCCATGCGCAGAAGCTCAAGGAGATGGATCCTATCAACTTTGAAACTGTGAGTAAATTCAAATTTTGCCAGTCTTGATTGTCTATTTTTCAAGCAGACGATGCCTCTTATTCATAGGAAGCGTGTTTAATACTTGATTTATTATCAAATGAGGAGTAATTAGTGATAGCATATGTACATAAGTGGCTATTGGCTCAAAACAAGCCAATGTGGTTGATAAAGTGACATAACTAATAAATCATCTATAAGCATGGGGTATAAAAGAGAACCTGACTGATGGTTTTGGATGAAATGGGAAAATGCATTCTGGGAAAATGAGGAGTAATTAGTAGCAATGCTGTGACATAGGCTTTTGGGCAGTAAAGAAAGAGCTTGAAGAAAATGGTGTTGGTAAAATGATTATTCCAGACACAGAATTGAAGATGAAAAATGGTAGTTATCACTTAGTAGATGGAGAAAAAATGTGTTGAAGCATCTAATATGATTTGCATTTTACCAATTGAAACAAAACCAATGGCTGACCATACATGGTGTTGACTTAATTCAAGGTGAAGGTATTGTTAGGAGAAAAGGAAGGCTGACAAAAATTTAGATTGGGGCTATGAAGCATGGACACCTCTCTAGAGATGACGTACATGTGTCGGACACGGGCACGCACTAGATATGCTCCAAACACGTATTGGACATGTTGGGACACTCCTCTCTAGAGATGACGTACATGTGTCGGACACGGGCACGCACTAGATATGCTCCAAACACGTATTGGACATGTTGGGACACTTGGGATACACTATAGATACTTTGCAACATGCTGAGGACTAGTTTTTTCAAAAATTAAATTATATATATATATATATATATACCAAAATAGTATACCTAAGGTTGATAAATTTTAAAAAATTAAATATTTGACATAAAATTAATATTAAATATTTAAAAATATATGTAATAAATATATAAAATTATATGTCTTGCACGTGTCCCTAATGTGTCGTGTCTTGCATTTTTCGAAAATTTACGTGTCCGTGCTTTCTAGGTTGAAGGCAGTAGAGAAGGCATGTCAATGTAGGATTTATCTGAGGGATCCCCTAATATATGTTCAATTTTACACTTGCATTTAAAGATATGACATAACAAATCTTGAATAATTGGTTGATACTTTTGGATTTTCAAGGCACACAAGTCACTAAAGTAGAATAACAGAAACCGAAAAACTAGAAAAAGCTTTTGATGTTTGTAAAATTACATACTTTTAACAGTAAAGTATAATGACTTACATAATTTATAAAGACATCATTCTGACAAAAAATAGGCCTCTAAAGATTAAAAAAAGCAATTCGACAATATTATGTAGCATTACACAATAGGGGTGTTTGTTTGGGTTTTTTTGAGCTAACTTATAGGTTCTAGCTTTGGAAAAGCTATTTTAGACTGTTTGGTTAAATTTATTTCAAACAGTTTCTGATTCTAACAACTTATTTTAACTCAAAAAAGCTGATTCTGATAAGCTGTTCACCCCTTGCTTCTGATTATCAGGACATGTTAATTTACAGTTATACTCTTAGATTTTTTATTTTTTATTTTTTAAAAATAGAAAAAGACCCAAATGGACTATAGATTATTATTATTATTTTTTATGAGAAATGTAGACAAATAGTGAATAACAAAAAATAAAAGTTAATTGAAAAACCTACTTCATAGCTTATTTAACAAACACTACTCAACAACTTAAATCTATAATCTAACAGCTACACCAAACAGATTAACAACTTCTGATTAAAGTCATAATCTATAATCTGTTAAGTTATAATCTATAATCTGTTTTAATAGCTACACCAAACAGGACTAATCTCTAGATTGGTAGTTGGCTCGGCCTTGTTCTCTCTCTTGTTAGTCTTCTTGGCACTGGATCCAGCATCCCCTGATGGATATTGTATAAGAAGATAATGCATTAAATCCTTGTTCTAGCCCTTAGAGATTCTTATATAAGGTGGACCTCTATAAAAAGCTTTAGCTGAATGGTAATTGCTGGTTTGTAATACCTTGCCATTCTTATAGTTTGATAGCTCCTCTTGCTGTTAGTCATCACAATTTTATTTTGGACAGCCCAATGGAATTCTGTATACTTATGCATTCTCACCAAAAAAGCAATATTTAATGGAGACATAGAAGAAAGTGTGTTAGGTTAGTTTTTGATAATTTTTTTGAATTTTCATTTTTCTAGTTGTCTTTAGTAAACTTTTTCATGTTTGACTAAAAATCTTTTACTTTTTAGATGCACCAAATAAGTAAAATATTTGTGAAAAATACTTAATTGAAGACCAAAAAGAGTTGGAAACACATTTCCTCCCTATGGTTTTGAAATATACGTATGGTTGCAGTTCGGAGAAAAATGCGAAAGTAACGAATTCTGTCAAACTTAACGGCTTGTGTAACATGCATTAAATTAAGTGCATGTGACAGGACATGAGTGATTCGA